TCAAGCGGCTCCCATTGGAAGCGGTCGAAGAGCTTGCCACGATCTTTCACGCCACCGAGAAAACATTAGAGTTCCCACAGCGGGTGTATCTGTGCTTGGTTGCTCGTGCTCCAGCGGTCGGGCACGTTTGCTGGGCGTGTCGCGGCGGCGGCCCCAACGACACGCTATGCCTTGCGACTGGATAGCGTGTCGCTCCGCTCTGTGGAGCGGGAAATCGGTAAAGGCTCGGGGCGTTGACGCTTGGGGGCTGGGACGTGGATGGCGTGTCGCGCCGAGGCGTGGTGGGCCTGCGCAGACATAACGACACGCTAACCAAAAAAAACGACCGTGAGACGGAGACCTCTGCGGTAGCGACCACCAAATGCCCGAAGTTGGATCGCATGCACACCAAACTGACGGGCGATCGGATTTTGGACTGGACCACCTCTGGGTTGTTCAGCAGCTTCGGGAACTCCTGCTTGAACGACAAGACGAGCGACTCGCAAAGCGAGTTCACGGGCTTGTTGTCGAGAGTGATGACGCCGACGCCGTTGGACCCCACGCTGATGGAGGTGGACATTGCAGCCGGTGGGTCGCTGCGCTCGGCGAGGGGGGGGCGCCGCGGAACACCCTGCCTTGATACAAAACGACTACGCCGAAAGGGGAGGGGGGGAGAGGACGAGGAGCAGGAGGATGAATAGGCAGCGGGGAAGGGAACAGGAAAAGGGGGAGGAGGAGCAGGACGAAGAGCAGAGAAAGGGAAGGGGGCGGGAGAGAAGGGGAGAGGGGGCGGGAGGAGAGGGGAAGAGAAGGAGAAGGAGAAGGAGGAACAGGGCAAACTAACGGGGAGGGGTAGAGAAGGAAGGACCGGGAGGGGGAGGCAGGAGAAGAGGAGGAGGAGGAGGAGGGAGGAGGAGGAGAGGAGGAGGAGAGGAGGCCCTCCTTCTCCTCCTTATCCTCCTTACCCTCCTCCTCCTCCTCCTCCTCCTCATCCTTCTCCTCCTCCTCCTCCTCCTCCTCCTGCCCCTCCTCCTATCATCATCATCATCCTCAGCATCATCCCCATCATCCTTTCAATCACCATCACCACCACCACCACCGCCATCATGATCAGAATCAGCATCATCATAGTCATAAGTAGGATCAGTATCATCATCACCACCATCAGCATCATCAGCATCCTCATCATCATCATCATCATCATCATCATCATCATCAGCATCATCATCATCATCATCATCATCATCATCATCATCATCATCATCATCATCCTCATCATCATCATGATCATCATCATCATCATCATCACCATCACCATCATCATCATCCTCATCCTCATCCTCATCCTCATCATCATCATCATCATCATCATCATCATCATCATCATCATCATCATCATTATCATCATAATCATCATCATCATCATCGTAATCGTCTTTATCAGCATCCGCATCATCATCATCATCATCATCATCATCATCATCATCATCATCATCATCATCATCATCATCGTTATCGTCCTTATCAGCATCCGCATCATCATCATCATCATCATCATCATCATCATCATCATCATCATAATCAGCATCATCGTCATCAGCATCATCAGCAGCAGCAACATCATCATGCTTATCTTCGCCGCCACCACCACCACCACCAGCATCCTCATCCTCGTCGTCATCCTCCTCATCCTCATCATCATCCTCATCACCATCATCAGCATACTCATCACAATCATCAGCATCATCATCAGCATCGTCAGCTTCATCATCTGCATCATTAGCAGCAGCATCATCACCACCACCACCATCATGATCAGCATCATCATCATCATCACCATCATCATCAGCAGCATCATCATAATCACCAGCAGCATCATCAGCATCATCACCATCACCATCACCCTTCTCATTCCTCGTCTTCCTGACGGGAGCCCAGGCACAGGGGCCATTGAGAAAGGGAGGGGGGGAAAAGGGGGAAGGGGAAGGGCAGGGGAAGAGGGATTCTTGACAGCTGGGCACCAGCAACGATGGGGGCAGCAAGGCTGGCACGAGTCTGCCGTTACGACCCTGACGATTAAAAAAAAAATCAACCTTGTCGGCGACAGCTTGTCAGAGCCGTCTGCACAGAAACCGAGATGATCCAACAAACAACGAACAACCGCCAGGGCAGTCGACTCCACCGAAGACAACTCTTCACGCCGCTGCACTGGTGGTGGGACCTCGATCGCGCCGACACCAGATAGAACTCCTCCTCCTCCTCCTGCTCCTCCTCCTCCCCCGCCTCCTCCTCCTCCTCCCCTCCTCCTCCTCCTTCTCCGCATCCGCCTCCGCCTCCTCCTCCTCCTCCTCCTCTTCCTCATCTTCCTCTCCCTTCCCCTCCCCCTCCCTCTCCTCCTCCGCCTCCGCCTCCTCATCCTCCTCCTCCTCCTCCTGCTCAGCCTCCTCCTCCTCGTCTTATTATTGTTATTAATATTATTATTGTCATTCGTATTATTAGTATCATTATTATTATTATTATTATTAGTATTAGTATTACTATTATTAATGATATTAATATTATTATTATTATTATTATTATTAGTATTATTATTATTAGTATCATTATTATTAGTATTAGTATTATTATTATTAGTGGTCGCCTTCTTATTGGTATGTTTCGCATTATTAGTCTTATTATTCGTATTTGAATTCTTCTTATTCGTCTGCTTCGTATAATTCTTCTTAGTATTAGTATTATTAATACTCGTCTTATGTGTTTAGTATTCGTATTAATAGTCTCATTATTCTTCGTATGATTAGTATTCGTCTTATTCGTCTTCTTATTATTCGTCTGCTTCTTCTCAGTAATGTTATTGACATGTGTGGTATGATTCGTCTTAGTCGTCTTATTCGTCTTATTATTCGTATTATTCTTATTCTTAGTATTATTATTACTACTAGTATTACTACTATTATTATAATCATTATTAATATTATTATTATTATTATTAATATTATTATTATTATTAGTATTAGTATTATTAATAATATTCCTCCTCCTCCTCCTCCTCCACCTCCTCCTCCTCCTCCTCCTCCTCCTCCCTGCCTCCTCCTCCTCCTCCTCTCCTCATCCTCCTCCTCCTCCTCCTCTTTCCTCCTCTCCTCCACCTCCGCCTCCTCCTCCTCCTCCTCCTCCGCCTCCGCCTCCGCCTCCTCCTCCTCCTCCTCCTCCTTCTCCTCCTCCTTCTCCTCCTTATCCTCCTCCTCCTCACTCCCTGAGGGAGGGGGAGGATAAAGAGGGGTAAAGGGGGAGGAAATGGAAGGAGATAGAGGCCTCCTAGATGGGGTCGGAGTAGATGGAGTCGGAGGATCGCGCCGCATCGCCGATACATCGGCAATGCATCGGCGATGGACTGGCGATGCACTTGCGATGCATCGTCGGCGTCGGCGATGCATCGGCGACGTCGACGTGAAGCAAATCGGGCTCCACACCGAGCAGCATCGGTGATGCATCGGCGATGCGGCGCGATCCTCCGACCCCTTCTACTCGGGCCCCATCTAGGCCCAGAGGAGAGGAAGGTGGGAGAGGGAAGAAAGGAAGGGGATGGGGGAAGGGGTGAGAGGGCGGTGGGGGAGAAGGAGAGTAGGGGAGGGGAGAGCGAGTGAGGAGCTGCGCAGGGGAAAAAGAGCGCATGTGGGATCTCTTCGTCCTGCTCGCGGCAAGGGTATAGCCCGGGCCCGCTCACCCAAAGGCACCCCCTTTCCCCGTGTTCACGTTGGCGTAGGCGAGCGGCCCACACTGCGAGAACAGGTCCTCGCAGCCGTCGTTCTCGTCGCTCGCTCGTCGCCGCTGCTCGTCGCCATTCCTCCTCCCTTCCTCATCCTCGTCCTCGTCCTCCTCCTCCTCCTCCTCCTCCTCCTCCTCCTCCTGCTCCTCCTCTTCCTCCTCCTGCTCCTCCTGCTTCCCCTCCTCTTCCTACTCCTCCTCCTCCTCCTTCTCGACCTCTTCCTCCCTCCTCCTCCTCCTCCGCCTCCTCCTCCTCCTCCTACCCTCTCCTGCTCCTCCTCCTCCTTCCCTCCACCTCTCCTCCTCCTATCCTCTTCCTCCTCCTCCTCCTCCTCCTCCTCCTCCTCCTCCTCTTCCTCCCTACTCCTCTTCTCCTCCTCCTCCTCCTCCTCCCCCTCCTTTTCCTCCGCCTCCTCCTCCTCCTCCTTCTCCTCCTCCTTGTCCGCATCATCATCATCATCATCATCATCATCATCATCATCATCATCATCATCATCATCATCATCATCATCATCATCATCATCATCATCATCATCATCATCATCATCATCATCATCGTCCTCGACAGGCGGCCGATGGACACGGAAGCCGCCACCGACGGCGGCCGCCGCCGAGGGCCGCCGCCGAGGGCCGCCGAGGGCCGCCGAGGCCCGCGGGGGACGGTCCTTGAGCTCCTCCGTTCCTCCTCCTCCTTCTCCTCCTCCTGCCTCATCCTCTCCATCCTCCTCCTCCTCCTCCTCCACTCCTCCTCCTCCTCCTCCTCCTCTCCTCCTCTTCCCTCCCTCCTCCTCTCTCCCTCCCATACTCCTCTCTTCCTCCTCCGCCTCGTCCTCCTCCCTCTCTGAGGCCGCGGGGACGGTCCTTAGAGCTCCTCCTCCTCCTCCTCCTCCCCTCCTTCTCCTCACTCCTCCTCCTAGACCTCCTCCTCCTTCCTCCCCTCCCTCCTCCTCCTCCTCCGCCTCCTCCTCCTCCTCCTCCTCCTCCTCCTCCTCCTCCTCTTCCTCCCTCCTCCTCTTCTCCCTCCTTCTCCTCCTCTTCCTCCTCCTCCTCGTCCTCCTCCTCCTGAGGCCCGCGGGGACGGGTCCTTGAGCTCCTGCCAGCTGGTCCCCGGCGGGATGCCGCCCACCCACAACTTGGTGCCGTCCGCGGAGTTCCAATCCTCTTGCAGGAAGGGTCTGCACCGAACTGGCAACCATGAACCGGCGGCCCCTCCAGCCGGACCGCCCAGACCGGAGCCCAAACCGGACCGGCTGAAACTGAACCTGCCGATTCGAACCGAACTGGCCAATCGAAACCGGCCCGAAAATCGAACCCGAACCGGCGGAACCGAACCGGCTCCAACGGGCCTGGACCCTGACGCCGCCCTGACGGGGGGTGAGAGAGAGAGAGAGAGAACAAAAAAAGAGAGAGAAGGAGAGAGAGAAAGAGAGAAAGAGAGGAAAGAGCTGAAATAGAAGAGGGGGGGCAAACGACCCCCTTTTCCTCCTCCTCCTCGTCCTCCTCCTCCTCCTCCTCCTCCTCCTCCTCCTCCTCCTCAACCTTGTCCTCCTCATTGTTCGCTTTCTCGTCGCCGTCGTCGTCGTCGTCGTCGTCGTCGTCGCCACCGCCGCCGCCGTCGTCATCATCATCATCATCATCATCATCATCATCATCATCATCATCATCATCATCATCAATCCTCAGCATCATCATCATCATCATCATCATCATCATCATCATCCAATCAACATCACCATCATCATCATCATCATCATCATCATCATCATCATCATCGTCATCATCATCATCAGTATCATCATAATCCCACTCATCAGTATCATCATCATCATCATCATCATCATCATCATCATCATCATCATCATCATCATCATCTTCATCATCATCATCTTCATCATCATCAGCTTCTTCATCATCATCATCATCAACAGCATCGCCACCACCAGCATTATCATCAACACTACCATCACAATCACCATCACCATCGCCATCGCCATCACCATCATCATTATCATCATGATCATCATCATCATCATCGTCATCATCATCATCACCATCATCATCATCGCCATCATGATCATCAGCAGCATCATCCTCATCATCATCATCATCATCATCATCGTCATCGTCATCATCATCATCAGAATCATAATCACCATTATAATCATCATCAGCAGCATCAGCATATGCATCATCATCAGCATCAGCATCAGCATCACCATCATCATCAGCATCAGCATCATCAGCAGCAGCAGCATCATCATCTTCATCATCACAATCAGCACCAGCATCATCATCATCATCATCATCATCAGCAGAATCATCATCATCATCATCATCATCATCATCATCATCGGCATCATCAGCATCATCGTCAGCAGCATCATCAGCAGCATCTAAATCATTATCAGCATCAGCATCGACATCAGCATCATCACCATCTTCATCAGCAGCATTAGCATCATCATCACAATCCGTCACCATCATCATCAGCAGAAGCATCATCGTCATCATACTCATTATCAGCATCATCATCAGCAGCACCAACAGCAGCTGCATCATCAGCAGCATCAGCATCAGCATCAGCATCATCATCAGAATCATCCTCATCCTCCGCAGCAGCATCATCATCAGTATCAGCATCATCATCAGAATCAGCATCCTCAGCAAAATCATCATCAGTCTCATCCTCATCATCAGCATCATCATCATCATCAGCATCACCATCATCAGCAGCAGTACCATTATCATCATCCTCAGCACCATCGTCGTGGTCGTCGTCGTCGTCATCATCATCATCGTCACCAGCGTCATCAGCATCAGCATCAGCATCATCATCAACATCGACATCGGCATCGGCATCATCGTCATCATCACCAGCATCGTAATCAGCACCCTCATGAATATATAGATATATATACATCTATATCATGAGTGTCATCATCGTAATCAGCATCAGCATCAGCATCATCATCAGCATCATCGTTATCGTCATCATAATCAGCAGCTTCATCATCACAAGCGTCGTCAGCGGCAGCAGCATCAGTATCAGCATCAGCATCACCATCATCATCACTATCATCGTCGTCAGCCTCCTCGTGAGCACCATCCTCATCATCACTATAGCCATCATCATGAGATTCATCGCCATCATCCGCACCATCATCGCAAATACCATTCTGATAAACAACATCAGCATCACCATCAGCAGCAGCAACGACGGCAGCATCATCAGCATCACCACCATCGCCATCGCCATCGCCATCAACATCACCAACTGAATCGTCATCCGTATCGCCAACATCATCCTCATCGTCATAAGCATCACCAGCAGCATCATCATTATTACCCGCATCAGCATCATCAGCATCATCAGCATCATCAGCGGCATCCTCATCACCATCCTCATCCTCATTCTCATCATCCTCAGCATCGTCTATAGAATGAGCATCCTCGACAACACCATCAGCCTCATCATCACAATCGCGCTCATCACCGTCTTCGGTATCGCAATCGTCTCCGTTATCGCTCCCCTCTAGCTCCTCCTCCTCCTCCTCCTCCTCCTCCTCCTCCTCCTCCTGCTCCTCCCCGCCTCCCTCTCCCTCCTCCTCCTCAACCCTCCTCAACCCTCCTCCTCCTCCGCCCTCCGCCCTCCTCCCTCCTCCTCCTCCTCCTCCTCCTCCTCCTTCTTCCTCCTCCTCCTCCTCCTCCTCCTCCTCCTCCTCCTCCTCCTCCTCCTCCTCCTCCTCCTCCTCCTCCTCCTCCTTCCTCCTCCTCCTCCTCCTCCTCCTCCTCCTCCTCCTCCTTCCCTCCTCCTCCTCCTCATCCTCCTCCCCTCCTCCTCCTCCTCCCCCGCCTTCCTCTCCTCCTCCCCTCTTCCTCCTCCTCCTCCTCCTCCTCCTCCTCCACCTCCTCCTCCTCCTCCTCCTCCTCCCTCCTCCTCCTCCTCCTCCTCCTCCTCCTCCTCCTCCTCCTCCTCCTCCTCCTCCTCATCCTCCTCCTCCTCCTCCCTCCTCCTCCTCCTCCTCCTCCTCCTCCTCTCCTCCTCTTCCTCCTCCTCCTCCTCCTCATCCACCTCCTCCGCCTCCTCCTCCTCCTCTCGCCGTCCTCCAGCCGTCTCGGCCAGAGCGCCCGGGGGGAGGCACCCCCCCTCCCAGGAGGGGAGGGGGGGGACCAGTCGAGCAGGAGATCGACTGCCGCAGGCGTAGAATGTTCGTAGACCTTTAAAACATTCCACGTGCTCTCGTTTGTGATTTTGGGGGAAGAAAACAAGAAACAACAAAAAGCTGTGGGGTAAGTCAACCCTGCAATCGATCCCCTACTGAAGCCAGGCGGGAGGACGTCCTCGCAGTCGGGAGCTGGCCCAACTCCAGAGGTGGGAGGGGGACCAGGTTCGGGGGCGCGCAAACATGGATTAGCGATCCATGGATTTGGCGCGCGGTCGCCAAATCCATGGATCGGGGGAGGTGCCCTCCCCCAAAATCGGCGGGTGCCGCTTCGCTCGGCGGCGGAAATCCGCGATTCCCCACGGAAGCGGGACCCGTCGCTAATCCACGCCCCCTTTGATCCATGTTTGCGATCGCCTGACGGGTGGGAGAGGGCGCAGTTGTCTGCCCCGGGAGAGGTCGAGGAAAAACCGCCGCCAGAACTGCGCAGACCTACCGGGGGAAACAACATCGGGGGCGCGCAAACATGGATTGGCCTCCTCCCAGAATGCGGCCAGTGTCGCCTCGCTCGGCGGCGGAAATCCGCGATTCCCCAAGGAAACGGGACCCGTCGCTAATCCACGCCCCCTTGATCCATGTCTGCGATCGCCTGAGACTTACCAGGGGAAACAGAAGGAGACCGATACCGCCACTCCCCCGACCGTTCATGGGGTGCGTTGTGACCAGAAGGCCCTCCAGGACAAGCAGCGGCACCTAGTATCGATACACGTCGGTCGGAAGAAGTAGGTAGAAACATGAAGTAGGAAGGCGGATATAGTGGATTGGGTCCAGGTCCTCCCACAGAATAACAAAACACAATAAAAGCATGTCGATTCTTGAAGTAGGAAGGCGCTTGAAGCAGATTGGGATCTGGAAACCCAAAAATACCTACTTCAAACGACCGGCGTGTACCCTGTCCTCCCCCGATGCCCCCTGCGATCCCCCAAACAGTCGGGAGCCGGAGCTCTTCGGCCCAGCCCCAGAGGGGGCAGTGAGGCCAGGTGGTCAGGAGCCAACTGCTGGGAGGTACTCGTCGGAAAGACTCAAGAGGATCAAGCCACACTGGGGGGCTGCTGCGCCAGATGAGGCCGCGAATTAAGCGGGAGTACGCCAGATCAAGCGGGATTAAGCCAGATCAAGCGGGACCAAGCCAGATTAAGCCGGATTTCGGACCAGAGCAAAGTCAGAAATTGACCTCCCAGGAGTTGCACCAGAAGTGGTGCTGGAGGCGTGTTCCCAGGACTCCTGCGAGACCATTGTTTCAAGTGTGCGGCCCCAAGAAGTCCCGACCACTGTCCTGGAGGCAAGTTTTCGCCCCGGATCCGCTCTTGGTGGCCCGGAGACCCGATACGGGGCCCCCGGGGCCGAAATGCATGAAAATGCGCCAGGACTAACAAAAACATATCGCCGGAGATCTTGACTTCCTTTCCCCGAGAGAGGTCCATGTCCACCGTGAGCTGCGCGCCTGTGGTGGCAACTCATAGGAGCCTCCCATACCATCGTGCTGGCTCTTGCGAACCGACGCTAATCGACGCAAGTCGACGCTGAATGGACGCTAATCGACGCTCATCGACGCTTGATTGACGCTGAGTCTTCGATTACCAGACGCCAAATCGACGCTAGTGGACTCTACAAACGGAACTACGAAGGTACACAAGACTCCCATGATTTGAGACCGAACCCGCCGTTGCACAAGAAGCCGTTCAGCTGCTGCGCGGCAGCCTGCGCGGCGAAGGGTGTCTCGTACCTGAAGGCCTCCTAGATGGGGTCCGACTAGATGGGGTCGAAAGATCTCGCCGCATCGCCGATACATCGGCGATACATCGCCGATGCATCGGCGATACATCGGCCATGCACCGCCGACGTCGGCGATGCATCGGCGACGTCCACGTGAAGCAAATCGGGCTCCACGTCGAGACGCATCGGCGATGCATCGGCGATGCGGCGCGATCCTCTGACCCTATCTACCCGGACCCCATCTGAGAGGCCTAGAGTACCGGACGGTGCCCGTGAGCGCGCCGGGCACCCTCGGGAAGCCCTTGCCGCCTCCTCCAGGCGGGGGGGCGGGGGGCGGGCCAGGGCCCAAAGGTGGCATAGCGACGAGGCTGGCGACGCAGGAGCAGGGCGAGGAGGGAGGAATCGGGGAGGAGTTGAAGAAGCCGCTCTGGGCGTGGGAGATTCTTCCCCCCCCAAACGGGGAATGTGACCCCCCCCCTCTTGGTGGTCCACCCCCGAACGCACAAGGGGCCCTGGACGGTCCACCCGCGAGCTCACCAAAGGGGCTCTGGCCCTCCCCGGGCTCCCTTTTGGAGCTCCAAGGCAGCCCCCGGAGGCCACCCGACAGACCCCCGAAGACGATCCGAGAGGGCCCCGAGTCGCCAAAAGATTGTCCCAAGACGCCCACGATGGCCTCCAGACGGCCCAAGATGCCCCCAAGACGCCCCAAGAGGCCTCCCAGATGCCTCCCAGGAGGGCCCCAATAAGCAGACACCGTCCACTCCCCTTCGAAAAACACATACACATGTTGCATGTTCGCCTCGTCGGAGACCCCCAAGAGGGCTCCAGGACGGCCCAAAAGAGCCCCACGACGGCCAACGAACTCTCCAACACTGCCCGAAAAAAAAACAGGACGGCTCCAAGAGGGGGCCCAAAGGGAAACCCAAACAAAATGTTCCAGCCTTCGGCCCCGAAAAGGCCTGTGGGTTGCCCCAAGAAGCCCCCAACAGGCCCCCAGAGAGCCCCAAGAGGATCCAAAAACGCCCCCCTGAGGCCCCAAAAGGCCCCCGAGAGGCCCCCGAGAGGCCCCGAAACTGCCTCCATGACGCCCCCGAGAGCCCTCACACGAGACCCCATCAGCCATCCGAGTGGCCTCAGACCCACAACCCAGGCACGGTGGCGGGATTGGCGGACTGCCATTCGATAGTCATTACTCTGGCGTTTTGACAAATGTCTGCCATCTGTGGGCGCTGGTTGTCGCCAGTTTCCCCATGCGTACATGGCGAACACTGAGAGTGTCAGCCGTGGGAAATAGAATAGCCCCAAGAAATCATTCACTGCGTGGAGCTCCCCATTGGTGCATCTATTAGCATGGACTTGTCCACCGTGAGTGTCTAAGCGCGAGAGTTTTCGAATAGAAACGGGCTTGAGTATTGACGGCCTGGGAGCGACTCTAGGTGTGAACGAGTTGGAGTGTGAATGAGCCCCAGTAATACGAGAGCGCCTCTACGCACTGGGGCCTCCTGAAACCTCCTGGGGCCACCTGGAGCCTCTTGGGATATCCTGGGACACCGTGTGGCCTCCTGGGGCCTTCTGAAGCCTCCTGGAGCCCCCTGGGGCTTCCTGGACGGACAGGATTCAAGCCCCAGAAAAGGCCCAATCTACAGGAACAGACGTACATCAAACACTGCGGAGTGGAGCCGCAGAAGAAGGGTTATCTGTAGGAGCACACGTAAAACACCAAGAACTCGTGCCCCAGGGGATGCCAAATATGTAGGAGCACATAGCACCCCGCAATTGCGGAAAAAAGAATAAGGGAGCGGGCGCGGGCGACGCGGGCGTCGAGCCGATGGCGATGGCGCCCTCCTCCTCCTCCTCCTCCTCCTCCTCCTCCTCCTCCTCCTCCTCCTCCTCCTCCTCCTGCTCCTGTTCCTCCTCCTCCTCCTCCTCCTCCTCCTCCTCCTCCTCCTCCTCCTCCTCCTCCTCCTCTTCCTCGTCCGCGCCATCGTCCTCATCGTCGTCGTCGTCGTCGTCCGCCTCCTCCTCCTCCTCCTCCTCCTCCTCCTCCTCCTCCTCCTCCTCTTTCTCCTCTTCCTCCTCCTCCTCCTCCTCCTCCTCCGCCAAGGATTGGGCGGCCTTGCACCAGGCGACGGCAAGATGCCTCGCAGCGAATGGATACTGGGATCGCGCTCGCAAATTCAAGGCGGGACTCGTCGATAGCACTTGGTGCGAACTGTGTGGCCTCGAGCGGGGGACGGTGGGGCACTTGTGTTCGGGGTCGTGTCCGGGCACGTGGGGCTATCGGCGAGATTACATGCTGCCGCAATCGCTTCGCTCTGGTGCGCGCGACCGCGAGGAATGGGCATTGTGGTGCCACGGTCGTGCCACGGTCTCCTGCCCGACCCCGTCGCGTGGTGTCTGCCTCCCACCCTGGAGCTTCAGGTGAGCTGGGAGGTTAGCCCCCCGGGAGGCCGCCATGAGGGCGAGGCTTTCGGCGACGGGTCCTGCGGGTCCATTCTTGCGTGCGAGCCCCGTCTGAAGAGAGCGGGGTGGTCCGTGGTCCAAACTTCGGGGAGCGGCTTAGATGTCACGGCCGCGCTGTGTGGGCCCCTCCCGGGACTCCTTCAGGGTTCTGAGGTGGCCGAGCTGTTCGGGCTCCTAATGTACCTCCTCCACGTCTCGCTCGGGCCCTTTCGCTACCTATCCGACTGTGAATGGGTGGTCTCGAGCTTTAAGAAGGGCCGTGAGGCCACGACGGGCAGCATGTGCATGTGCGCTGACCTGTGGGGACTGGTGTGGGGGCGAGTGGACGACCTTGGGGGGGAGGTGGAAGTGATCATAGTCAAGGGTCACGCGCTTGTGCGCGACGACCACCTGTCAGCAGACGCCAGGTACTGGCGACTCGGTAACAAGTTTGCTGATCAGTTCGTTAGGCTCGGAGCGTCCAGGCATCCCCAGGACATGCAGGCGAACGATCGCGTGTTGAAGTCGGCCAGCCTGTCCACGTATGTGTGCAAGTACACATGTAGAACCCTGCGAGCTGTCGGCCCTCCTGCCAGTACAGTGTCGGCTCGGGATGTCGAGACCCGTGGACGACGTCGGCCGCCCCCGAGGCTCACGGCTGATGAGGAGGCCCCCGCGGGAGAGCACGACATAGTCCAGTTTGCGGGTAAGCTGCGATGCGTAAGGTGCCTGCGCGTGGCCAAGGTGGCCAAGTCGCTCAGGCAGGCCCCGTGCCGGCCTGCCGTAGGCCACCGGCTTTGGTGCGTTGGCCCGTTCACCTTCTGCAGCTCGTGTTGAGCACACTCGTGCGATAATACCCAGCTCCTGGCGGTGGAATGCAGGGGGCACTGCGAGCGCGGCTCGTCGACACATGCCCGCTTGGACCACCTCTGGAGCGGAAACCACCCACGAACTGGGGCGAAGTTGCCTCTCGGTTCGGGGCCGAAGGCCCCGACTCCGTTTGGAAGCTTCGCCCTGGACGTAAAATTCGGGGGGCTGGAGGTCCTCCCCGAGTGGTGAGGTGGTCGTCCTGCATGCCGAGTGGCCATTTTGACCGAGAAGCACCGCCTGCTTGGAGCACGCTGCGTCGCGGCGGTGCCCGCGGGTATTGTTTTTCGCTCCGCGAAGCCCCCAGCTGCGGCACTGCACCTGTTGGCTACACCCCAGTAAAAGCCTCCTCGCCCTCGTCGTCGGCCTCATCTTCGTCCTCGTACTCGTCGTCGTCGTCGTCGGCGGCGGCGGCTTCCTCTTCCTGCTCCTCGCCCTGCTCCTCCTCCCCTCCTCCACGGAACGCGCGCGCGCACCAGGGGGGGGGGGGTCGCGAGCTTGTTCAGTGAACGTAGTTTGGGTCCCGGGTGGGTCGCGGGCTCTCCACCTCCACCAGGAAGGAATTCAAAAACAGCCCGCCGCAGGCGCCGAAAATTTTGACTTGTCTTGTACACTGAACGCGGTTTGGGTCGCGGGTGGGTCGAAGGTTCTCCACTTGGAACGAATGCAAAAGAAGCCCGCCGCAGGCGCCGAACATTTTGGGTGGGTCGCGGGGTGGGTCGCGGGTGGGTCGCGGGTGGGTCGCGGTGGGTCGCGGGTGGGTCGCGGGTCGCGGGTTCGCAGGTGGGTCCGGGGCGGGTGGGTCGCGGGTGGGTCGCGGTGGGTCGCGGTCGGGTCGCGGGTGGGTCGCGGGTGGGTCGCGGGTGGGTCGCGGTGGGTCGCGGGGTCGGGGGGGTGGGTCGCGGGCGGGTCGCGGGGTGGGTCGCGGGGTGGGTCGCGGGGCGGGTGGGTCGCGCGGGTCGCCGCGGGGCGGGTCGTGGGTGGGACACGACAACAAACAACAAACAACAAACAGCAACAACAACGACAGCAACAACCACAACTACTACTACTACTACTACTACTACTACTACTACTACTACTACTACTACTACTACTACTACTACTACTACTACTACTACTACTACTACTACTACTACTACTACTACTACTACTACTACTACTACTACTACTACTACTACTACAACAACAACAACAACAACAACAACAAGAAGAATCCGCATCGCGGAATTCCACTTCAGCCACGCACCCAGGGACAGTGAATGACCGTTCGGTTCAGCCCCCTCACTCTGACGTAAAATCCTTAGGACTGGACACACAGGGGAAGGACATTCGATAGAAAAAAAAGTAAATCAAAACAAAGGATTCGTGCTCCAGGGGGGTCCGAATCTATATGATCATAATATAACACATGGGCACATGGGATTGAAGCCACTCCTGTGGCCTTTTGAAGCCTGCTGCTCCTGGGGCCCCGTGGGGCCTCCTGGTGCCCTCCTGGCGCTTCCTGTGGGCTCCTGCGGCCTCCTGTGGCCCCCTGTGGCCTCCTGGAACATCCTGGAGCCTCCTGAGGCCTCCTGGAGTTTTCTGGGGCCTGCTGGAGCCTCTTGGGGCATCCTGTCGCCTCTTGAATATTCCTGTGGCCTCTTGATGCCTCCTGGGGCCTTATGTTGACTCCTGAAGCCTGCTGGAGCCTCCTGTGGCATCCTGGGGAGGATACGTGCCCACGAGTCTGGCCACCAAAGCAGGCAAACCGATCGAGACATCTTCAAAGTCTGGCCCCACTTGGGGGCGAAACTGAACGTCTCGCTCGAAACATCCTACAAATCTGCTCCGACAGCGAAGGATGTTGAGCCAGGAGACAAGCACACCGCCATTTTGGCGCGAACGAAACCATGCAATACCTCTGGCGGCTCCCCTTTGGGGGTGCTGAAACCCGCGCCTCGCTCGAGACATCCTCGAATCCGGGCACCACAACAAGCAAACCGATCGAGACATCATCAAAA